AGTGGTCTAGACTGCCTTAGCCCCCACAGCAGACAGTGGTCTAGACTCCCTTAGCCTTCACAGCAGACAGTGGTCTAGACTGCCTTAGCTACACAGCAGACAGTGGTCTAGACTGCCTTATCCTCACAGCAGATGGTGGTCTAGGCTGCCTTAGCTCCCATGCAGCAGAGCTGGACTTACAGCCAACAGGAAGCTACAGCTGCTTGGGCTGGAGTCCACTCTCATCCCTATGTATGCACTGCGCACCTGTTATTTTCCATGCACAAGGCATAAAATGTGCCCTTCAGTTACTTCTAAGCTGTTGGGAGTCACAATGACCCACTATACAGTCTTGCAAAGTGCTAAGAACCAGAAAAGAAATATCCTAGCATGAGTTTCCATACTAGGAGATCATTTTGACAGGTAGTATAATCCATTTATTTTGTGTTGATAAAGAAATAAGTGTTTGCTGTCTGGGTATATAAAATGCTAAGCAACCAAAACAATATTGTAAGTGTGCTTTCACAGGAGCACAGGAAACTAAAGAGAAAGGAAGCTGCCTCTTCCCCCACCCTGTCATTCACCAGCATTTGGCTGGGTAAACTGCTTCTCTCCTGCGTGACTTTCCATCCATGGTGCCATCCCCTTCAAAATAAAACAGCAGGAAGACTCACTGGATTCTCACGTCAATTTATTGTTTCTGATTCTGAAACTCTACAGAAGTAATATTCTCTGTGTTTTACAGCCACCTGGGTAGGTTCAGCATTCACTGGCTACTCTTCTGGAAGACCTGGTTTGGTTCCCAGCACTTCCACGGAAGCTCAGAAGTGTTCGCAAGTCCTTTCCCAGAGGATCCAATGGTGTCGACAGAAAATGAACAAAATCTCAAGGATTTCCCTTGTTCTGTTCTGTTTGGGTTTGTAACGAGGTCTTAGTAGGTAGCACAAGTGGGGCTTGAATTTAGGATTCTTGCTTCTGCTTCCCCAGTTTTAAGTTCACGATTGGTGGCCACATTGTATCATCATACCTACAGAGGACTACCTTTCATGTCTCATCAGATTTTCTCAGCAGAAAAACTTCATTATTCCTTTTAAGGATGACAAACTGCACCCAAAGCCTCATCGTACAGACATAAGCCAGAGGTTGTAGACAGTAAGGCACAGCACACAGTAGGGAAATGCTGTGCTTAAGAAGCTCAGACTGGTGTGGCTGTGACACGGAGCTCCTCGGTGGCCTGGATGAGGTGGAGGTGAAGGGGCTGCAAAAAAGCAAGGAGACAGCTGTGGCCCTGAAGGACTAAAGCTGTAGATTAAAGGTTGCACAGCCTGCCCAGCGGGAGGGAGTGGCTGGTTTTCTCCCCGGGACTTAGGCAGCTTTATACAGAGTCACTTTAGACTCAGTGGCTCTCTCTCTGCAGACCTTGGCAGCATCCTGCAGGAGAGTCCTCTGACCTGGCTCCATGGTTCAATGGAAAGGACATTCACCCACCAAGTTCATAGAGGCGGCTGTCCATATTGTTGAACGGAATAAAATGAAAATTCACTTTGCCATCTTTCCAACACGAGCCCTCTTGGATCATGACATCATGGGCTGCCTGGATGACCTCACTTTTTTCAAAGCACTGTATCTTCAGGGGACCTGTTCTCCATCTCAGAAAGAAGCTGTTTCAAGACTGATCCATCCTCAGACTAGTTTGTCTTGACTATTGGCTGCTGTGTGGGTCAGCCCAGTGTTCCCAACGGTCTGCTTCAAGAAGTAAACTTTAAGACTGTTTGTCTTCTTCTTGTCGTTTCCTATGGACATTTCTTTTTTTATGAAAAAATGTAATAACTTAGTTTGCATTTTGGAGCATTTCCAGTGGGTCTTGCTGAGACCTACTGGGTCGGAACCTCATGTACTCTCCCAGTCAGACACCAGGCTAGGCCCACCAGCCTGCAGCCTCCGTCAAGACCTGAGCAACTGAGGGCACAACCCAGAGCGCAGTACAGAGCACAGACCACATCTCCCTGCAAGTCACTCCACATTGACCTCAGGGGGTTTATGCCCCTCTTCTCTGCATTCCTACACACTCTTTTAAAGTCACTGAAGCATGGGGCACGTCCAAGCTGTGTCTCCCCAAAGTGCACATGTCCCGTGAAGACAATTCCCCATGACCTGGCCGCACACCACACTCCAGCAGTGTCCTGATGTGTCCCAGCCAGTGGCTACTGTCCTCTGGAGCTAACTGGAAGACCCTGCTCTCCTGCCGGTGGGGCCTGCTCACCCAAAGGTAGATGAGCAACACTGGCTGCTGGCACACGGGTGACGTCCTAGATGAAGCCTTGAAGGACAATGTCAGTGTCACTGCAGGTGGACACTGGGCAGACAGCGCACGCTGGTCCAGCCCCCGCGGCCCACTCCCTAGCTCATGCTGGAAGCCTGTGGCTGTCCTGCTGATGTCCTGTGGGAGTGCTGCCTCCACAGATAGGCCACCCTGCTCTAGGCTGAGGCACTGCACCTGGCCGGGCTCAGCACCAATGTCCTGTGTCAACAGTGCCAGTTCTCATGTTCTCCAAATAAATATTGGCCCTGCAAAAGCCCCTGAAAGGCTTTATGCACACAGTTAGGTTCCTGGCAGGTGGACTGGTGTTGGGCTGTATATGAGCAGTGAGCGTCCCAGTTGGGTGCATTTACTCTGCAAAGCCTGCTGAGCAGAGAAGGTACACTCGCTCTACCTCCTTGCTGTGTAACTTACGGGTCAATCCACTCCCCCTTCCAGATGTGATGCTGGAGTATTTGCTCCAGCAGCGGAAAGCAGGGGAGGGGGTGAGAGGGGGCGGGGTACGGGGTGAGGGCAGGGATGGGGGGGACCTAAGGCCCGGGAACTAAGACCATTGCTGTCTAGCACCTCCAGGCTGCCACCACATACTTGGGCGAGTCTGTGTCCTGTTGTATGATATTCTGTGTTCTGACAAAGAAAGCTTGCCTAGAGATCAGAGCGCCAAGCTAGCCCCTAGGTTCCCACATAGGTCAGGCAGTGGCACACCCCCATCCCAGCTTTGCTGACAACTCAGTGACCCTCCAAGTTCTTATTATCACACCCATAATTCTCACTCAGAAAAACTGAAAAAGACACACTCCAAGAAAAAGGAATACAGTATTGTTTTTGTTGAGATGGGTTCTCACCACATAGCCTAACCTTGAGCTCAAAATCACCTTGCCTCAGCCTCTGAGTGCTGGGAGCATGCGTGAGTGTGTACCAACTTTCCGCTGGAAATCCCTTAATACAACGGATTAAGTCTGCTATACAGATGAACACTGTGAATAGTTTGAAGCATATGTATGTAAAGTCTTAATGGGAAAATTAAATCCTTTTGTTAAAAATAAAGCAATATATTTTCATGTTTGGTGTAGGAGGTTCTTCTATCTATGTGTTGCTTTCATTAGTTAATTAATAAAGAAAACTGCTTGGCCTGATATGTCAGAACATAGGTAGGCAGGGTAGACAGAACTGAATGTCGGGAAGAAGAGTCAGAGAGCCGCCCACCATGAAGCTTCCAAGTCAGACATGCTGAATCTTTCCTGGCAAGCCATGACCTTATGGTGACATACAGATTATTAGAAATGGGTTGAATCAAGATGTGAGAGTTAGCCAAGAAGAGGCTAGAGATAATGGGCCAGGTAGTGTTTTAAATGAGTACAGTTTCTGTGTAATTATTTTAGATGTAAGCTAGCCAGGCAGGACAGAACAAAGGGGCCCATGCTCCTCTACAACAAAGTACTATCCATTCTTCAACTCCATTAAAGACTCCAGAAGGATATAATATTACCTAAATAAACAAAAAGTAAGCAATTTCCAAACTCTAGAAACGACAGAGACATCTTGTTGCCTGTACAGTCACCCAAAGTTTTTTGTACCATTGGGGCATCCATCTTCAGCCTACAGGCCCATAGTATCCAGCAGAGTTTTCCATGAAGCAGGAAATCTCAAAGGCAGTTCAGTCACTTTCTTCTGTGTCCTGCAGAATGTCTCACAGACTCTTTCATGAAGCAGGAATCCCAAAGGAACATCTCACCTCTAGGCAAGTTCAGCAGTACTCTCTCTGCGGGGGTTCTCTGTGTCCAGTTTATGCAACAGTCCAGGCAAGAGCAGTTTCTTGCCCAAATGGTTAGCAAACTCCATAAGGAGCCTCTTCAATGCCCATCTTCCTCTTGAAGTAGATTGATACTACCAGGAACAGGCGTGTCTCATTGTCATGAAAAGTCCTAAGTTATTAAAACATTTTCAATGCCATATTCTGTAGTCTTTGAAAGATATGAAGAACACCTATCTGAAATATATCTATGCACATCTAGAAAATCTAACTAACATGACCTCAAACTTGACTATTATGGATGATTATCTATTAACCTATATTTCTTAATTATACATTACATTTTTAAAAGAACTACACAATCACAATACCTTAATCAAGAGCAGAAATATATATATAACAAGATTGACCTTAAATTTATATTAACAGGGGGCTGGGGAGATAGCTCAGTGGTTAAGAGCATTGCCTGCTCTTCTAAAGGTCCTGAGTTCAATTCCTGGCAACCATATGGTGGCTCACAACCATCTGTAATAAGGTCTGGTGCCCTCTTCTGGCCTGCAGGCATACACACAGACAGAATATTGTATACAAAATAAATAATAAATAAATAAAAATAAATAAATAAGTAAATTTATATTAACAAAGCAAAATCCATACCAATGCAAATTATTCATATCTATATCACATGTTAAAAAATAATGCATACTAACTTTAATATATTAGTTATAGATATTCATTTATATATTAATATGCATATTTATATACATATTAATCTTTTAAAGATAACCCACAAACCCCCAGCTACTGTCACAAATAAGAAGCGTTTGGCATTTAGGTGTGCCTATAACTGAGCCCATCCCCATCCACAACTTGTAGTCTTCTCCCCAAAAGAGAGACTTCCTCTCCATGTGTCTCTTAGCTAGCTCTCAGGTGTCTGCAGGGGAGCGTTAGGGAACAAAACTGGCCTTTAGGCAAGGAACTGCCCTTGCATCGACCACTGACAAAATGCACGATGTCTGGACAGGACAAGCAGGATACAAGAAAAAAGACTGTCAAATCTTACTAAGACAGGGTAAGATGGTTTTGAAAAATTTCTTGCCTCTGAAAATGGCCTGTCGGTTACTCTAGGCCTTAGTCAAAGTTGGTTGCTCCAACGTCGTAAATGAGACTTTGGGTGATTGTCCAGGTAGCCAGTTGTCTCTGTCATTTGTTGCACATTTTGGAAGTTGCTTGATTGCACTTCCTGCTTACTCAAGTAATATTATTTCCCTTCTCGGGTCTTCAATGGGGTTGAAGACTAGAGAGTTGTAGTTACTTTCCTCTCATGACTTGGCCAAGTTATTTATAATACAAGACTTAAACTCCTTAGGATAGGATAATTATTGAAACATTTATCACATGTTTCTTGCTTGATATTGTTTATGCTGTTGTAATTCTTATTTTTATGCCTGATATTTGTTCTTATTGTATATAATTTTGTATTACACTTAGAACTCTCTTATTTAAACAAAAGGGAGAGGTGCTGTAGGAATTCCTATGGCCAGTAGCCTTTAATTTACTAGGCCCAGTTGGGCGTGGCCTCTTCTACTATATATGCCAATGTAAAGCACCCCATTAGCTCTCGCTTCTGGAGGCGTGATTCGGTTCCTGTTCCCCGTTCGTGAAGAGGACTATAATCTGTGAGTCTACCCCTAAATAAATAACCCTTTATTATACTCAGTTCTGAGCTAGTGTGGGATTTCTTTTTGGTGTCCTTCTTCAAACCACCACATGTGTATATGAAGTATATGTGCCACACCCTGGTGACCAAGCATTCAAATCTATGAATCTATGGGGGTTATCCCTATTCAAACCACCTCATACTATATATGCCTTTACCTCAAACTTTTATCTTTTAGGCTTCACTTAGTGCAGGAACTTCTGTAACCAGCCAGGGGGACTCTCTGGGCCTGAGCTACGCCGCCATGCTGGGAACACACTGCAGCTTTCACAATGGACTTTAGGATTTCTCTAGTCAGGAGTAGACTGAGCTGTCCTTCTCTGGGCCGCTATTAGTAAGACATACAGTGTTAGCCATCTTTCTTCCCAGTCGCTACAACAAACACTTTAAACTATCAACTTAAAGAGAAAAGGATTGCTTTGGCTCACAGGGTTCAGCTCATAACCCGTGGCCCCACGTCACG